ACTAGCAGCAGTTCTTGAATATAGATTTCTTTGAGTGTAAACCCTGTGTTTTCTGAGTTTGTTGTTTTCAAAAAGTGATACAAATGGACAAAGAGGCCATTGAGTGAGAAATTCCTTGTGTTTTTGGACCATTGTTGGTTGCAGGTACTCATGAGAATAGCAGTGACTTGCACAGAAATAGCCCATCTGAGAGAGGCACAGGTCATTTGGGCTAAGCACGGTCATGGGCAACAGAGAGGTGTTTCATTCTTTCTCATCATTGTGCTAAATTGTGCAGATTCCCTTTGTGATAAGTCTCCTGATTTGAGACCATGTTGAATTGTTGGGACTGCAAGGAGATAGGAAAGAAATCAAAACTTTTTGCCCTTGAATATAGCTTAGTAAATTAAATATGTAAATCAAGTAAAGTTAGAAGGTAGAAAATATCTTCATCTTTCTTTTCTTCACTTACAGATTGAATATTTTGGGCACAAAAGTACACCTTTTCTTGGTCTTCTTTGAGATAGTGTCTTGCTATGCAGTTCAGACTGGTGTCGAGCTCACTTTGTAGCCCAGGCTGGTCTCGAGATCCTCCTACCTCAGCTTCCCAAGTGCTGGGATTACAGGCATGTGCTACCATGCCTAGCTGCAGAAGTGCATCTTATATAAGTCTCAGGAGCCATGGGAATAAGGATACATTTATAACCCTAAAGTCTTAGGGATTAGAAAGTTGCCAGTGGCAAGTAGACTGTCATTTTTTAGCTACCCTAAGAGTTTATTTTGCTATAAATTCTGAGTTTATCTGACAAAAAGAATTTATTATCTCCTATCAAATTGATTTCCAGACTGGGGAGATACCTCAGTGGCATAGGCACTTGGCATGGTCCTGAGTTTGATCCCCAGTACCCAAAAAAAAAAAAAAAAAAATTTGATTTCTAGGAAATACTAGCATATATGGGTATATGTATCCTCATATGTACATACTCAATAGGGACTAGATTTATTGTGAAATTAGCTGCCAGGTTAGAGGAGATTAACAAAATCCATTATTTAGTAGTTATTTATGCGAAGAGTATTAAATATGGTTACCATGGTCATTGTCTCTGCTTTCTTATACCCCGAGTTTCCTGTTCCAGGGAACATATTTGTACTTGGTAAATCCATGATGATTCATTAGTGAAGAAAGAAAAATGTACATTATTGTTGTTTGGATTATGATATTGTATCCCAGTTCTTGAGTCCTGGAGTTGAAGAAGCTATTTTCCTTTGGTTCTGATGTCCTACATGTAGGTGGCATATTTCACTCTCTGGCTCTTATGACAAAGTAGCGTTTATCTTTGGGGTGTGAATAACAAGAAGATACAGTTACTTATGTTTCACAATTGGAGTAACTCCTTGGATATATCATAGCAAGAGAAAACAGAGTAGAGACTAGGGCATAAAATTCCACAAATTCGTCAGATCTGACCCAGAGGGCAGCAGACCTTTCATCACCTGGGTAGCAGCCTTAGCCCATCTCTATGGGTGGTCTCCTGAATTTGAGAAGTGGTAAAGAAGATAAAGGCCAACTTGGGCAACCCAAAGGCTGCTAGTAGAGTTACAGTGATGAGGATTCAAGGAAAGAAGTCAATTAAAACCTATTATGTACCTCGTGAAACAGAGCTGTCCCTTTGTAAACTTACAATAAAAATTGTTCTTTAAGTATAGGCCCCTGATTATTTTCCCTGTTTTCCTACTCCTGAGCTTATAAAACCCTAAACATTAGTGATGAAAGGGCCCTGAGAGATCACAATCCAAATACGTCATTATAATATGGTATAATAGTCCTTCCAGGATAAGTAGTAGAAGCCAAACACTAACTTACATTAGGGAGTTGATTGGTTAGGACCAGAAAACCCAAAGGTGCATTCAGTTGAGGTATGGCTGCTCTGGGACCTCAGAGCAAGTTCTATGGCTTCATTCTCATAGTCTCCCCACATGGTTGTAACAGCTCAAGAGCAGCTGCAATGAAAGTCCCAGGGCTAACTCTTAGTGGCCTGGATCAGGCTATGTGTTCTTCCTTCAACTGGTCATTAAGACTTTGGAGCCTCTGTGGGATGAAGAATAGTAGTCAGCAGAGAGTGGGTTAGGATGAAAATGGACATGCTCTTGTCAGAAGGGCGGTGGATACAGGGTAGGGTGGGAGGAATGACTTCTTGTAGTTATAAATAAAAGGAGGTCCAAACAGCATCTTTTTTGTCCATAAAGGTTGGGATTCTCATGAAAGAGGCATTAGTAATTCAACAATGAGAAGTATGATCACTTTTCTCAGTTCTCCATATCAAATTTGAGGCCAGCAGCACATAAGAAGCAGCCCCTGTGTTGGGAATTGTATTTTTCACTCAGTAACTGATGTTGTGTCTTCCAGCCTGGGTTGCATGTGCCCTAGGTCTTTGCTGGTTATTGGCAGCTGAGGTTTTGAGGCAGTTGCAAGGATGCCTGAGGTCTGACCACTGAAATGTACCCACAACAGCATTTCTGTTATAAACTCTCAGAAATGGAGACCCTGCTGCCTTTGCCATTTCAAGAGTGCATCTTGAGAAAAAAAATTTTTTTTCTGGCTGGCTCAGGCTGCCTTAAGGGTGGATCTGGTGTGCTATGTGGAGCTGGGGATCAAACTGTGGTCCCCGCACCTGACTGTGTTTGCTCAAGCAGACACTTTGAACAACTGAGCTAACCGGCAAGCCCCCAAGGGTGCATCTGAAGGCTAGAACCTTTTTGATTTGTAACTAAGGAGCATGTCTACATGGGCTGCCTCATCCCAAAGTCCCCAGTAACTCTTCTGGCCTATCTGAACTGGGCTAGAATATGTTCCTGTGACTCCAGTGAAACCACAGTTATGTCTCTGGTGCTGAGTAATGGTGGTGTGAACACAACTGGGACCTGTCCCAAAGAGGTGAGGAAAGAAACATCTTACCAAAGGAGGTGGGCCTTGAAAGAAGAACCCATCCTGTCCCAGAGCTTCTCCAGTCTTAGTTCACTCCAGTCCCTCCTTGCTTTCCAGGTTTATAGAGATGTAATCCATGAACATACATATGGAGAAGCAGAGGACAAATGTGTGTAGAACTCAGCCCAGGCTCTGGATTCCACTTGGGGTTAAACCCAGGCACCCTACTGTTTTGACTCTGTGGTCTTGGCAAAGTCATTTTTCCGTGCCTCTACTTCCTTTGCTCTAAAGTCTGATTGCCAGTATAAGGTTTTTTATAAGTCAGTGTTATTGGATTCCTCTTTGAGCTGTCGCCTAGTAAGAAGTATCAGTGATCACGGGGAGAAGTACCTGTACTGTTTTTTTTTTTTTTTTTTTTTTTTTTTTTTAGTATTTAGGATGGAGTGTATAGGGTCTCACTGCTTGGATCAGACTCATAGTGATCCTCCTGTTTACAGCCTCCCAAGTGCTGGGATTACAGGTGTGAACCACCATGCCCAGTGTTAGTTAACATCTCAGCGCCCCAGGGGTGGGGCCTGCATAGCAGGCCAAGGAATTGAACTCCTGGTCCTTGCGTCTGCGTAAGCAGACACTTTAATCCACTGAGCTATTTGGCTGGCCCTGTCCTGTTCTTTAAGTTACCGTTACTGAAGACTTAATTAAACTGTCAACTGTACTTGGGCTCTACTAGAAGCCAGTGGGAGAGATCTGGCTTTAGAAACTGTCTTACTTTTCTTACATTGCTAAGATGAAATACCTGATATCCACAGGTTAAGGAAAGGAAAGTTTATGTAGCTCACAGTTTGTAGAGGTTTCAATCCATTTCAGCCTTTGTGGAGGCTCCAAGTCACACATGGCAGAGCCACAATTGTTCATGGTGGCAGAATTTAGCAAAAGCAACAAGGAAGGGGACAGAGAAGCCTCTTTCCATGCCTTACCTTGTATGTAGTCTACCAGGATTAGGGCAGTGCCAGTGCAGTCAGTGGACTTATCCAGCCATCACCTAGCCTTAATTCTAGCACCCTTAATCCCAGCATTGCACCATGTATCAATTACACACTCTAGATTCAGCCACTTCTGAAAAAGCTCCATGACAACATGAGTCTTTGGGGGGACATCTAGACACAAATCATAATGAGCCTTCTATCCAAGCTGGACTGCCCCATCCTGACAGATAGACAAGCAGTAGAAAGGAAAGATAAGATTGAGAACACAAGTAGTAGATTTCATAGACTGTCACATGTGTCACTTATTTTTTAATACAGTAGTACTTAGGGTACCTTCTTCATGCGAGGCATTGTCCAGAAGTGGGTATATAGCAATTAGCCAGGTAAGCCTGTTACCTGCAGGAACTCAGAATGTCTTTTGGAGCTATATTAATAAATAGTTATGGGGGCTGGAGAGATGGCTCAGTGGTCTAAAACACCTACTTGGAACAAGCTAAGCTAAGCTAAAGCACAGGGACCGCGGTTCGATCCCCCAGCACCACATGCCAGCCAGCCCCGCCCCCTGGTGGGCTGAGCTGGCCACGC